ATATATATATATATATATATTAGGTGTTGGAATTAATTCGTAGCGTTTTTTAATGAAAGAATGTTATTTATTTCACATGAGCATTAAAAAATACATTAATGAAAGTACTTCCCATCACTTGTAAAACGCTACGAATTAATTCCAACACCTAATACTATAATGTGTGAATATACACACCTTACAAGTAGAAGTTATTTATGCTGAACTATTTATGCATTCTCTATGTTTAAATATGCAATTTTAAAATTGTATGTATACATATAAAATATAATGTGTATATATGTACATATAAAATTTAATTGCAATATTTTATATAAATAAACATAGGGAATATCTGCATGAATACTTCAGCATAAATTATTTCTAGCTCTAATTTGTGTAGATATTCATACATCATAATGCACACACTTGCAATATTCTAATATTGAGAAAAACAATTATTATATAGAAGACTTTAAATCTATAAAATATACGTATAATTAATATAAATTAAGGCTAATGAGACAATATTGATACGTAGGCTGCTGGAAAAGTTTCTGCAAACAATATGAAAAAAAAACATGTAAAATTCGGTATGGCTTTATTGTTTTTCGAAGCATTTTTTCCACTCTGAGGCTGTAATCTTAGAAATCAGTGTACGAAATGTTTCAACAACTGCTTCAGACGATTCAAATAGCTCACCACGCATCTTCTTTTTAACGTTTGGGAACAAAAAGAAATCATTAGTTGATAAATCAGGTGAATACGGACAATGAGTCATCAATTCGAATTTACTGGATAAAAAATCCATGATTTGACGTGCTGTGTGACAGCTGGCGTTGTCATGATGATGCGACGATTTCGGTTTGTTCTACGCAATTCATTTATGATTTCTGGCAAATAAATTGTTGTATACCAATCAGTATTTACAGTCCTTCGATCCTCTAAAGCCACGGTTGCCACATGCCCGGTATAACTGCAGAAACCAGAATTTGCTTGGCTGCGTGAACGAACAACTTTTGTTGGTTTCGATTCATTTTGAAATACTCAAATATCGGTGGATTGTTGTTTACTTTTGGGCTCATACGAATAGATCCATGTTCCGTTCCCAGTAATGATGTTGTAAACCAAATTTGACCGACCTTGAACCCTTGAATTTCTTGAGCATTTCTTTGCTCCATTTAACAGGAGCCTATTTTTGAGCTTCGGTCAAATTGTGTGGGATCCAACGACTGCAAAGTTTCCGTACGCTTAAGTGATCATGCAAAATTGTATTGCTTTCATGTCTCAATGCCTAAGGATGCCTAAATCTCGCGGTATGTCATATGCCGGTTTCGCTCAATCATTTCACGCACAGCATCAACATTAGTGGCAACAACAGACGTGGATGGACCTTTACGGAATTCGTCACAAAGAAAGATACGTCCACGCTGGAATTCGGCAAATCAATTATAAACAGTCCTATTGGATAGTACTTCATCCCCAAAAGCCAAATGAAGTCGATCGATGCATTGTTTCGGAGTTAGATTACATTTGTAATCGTAAAAAATCATTGCCCGAAAATTTTCACGCGAAATTTCCATTTTCTCACAAAATAACTTCTTTTAAAATACTATGCAAACAAAACTAGTTGGCTTGGGTACAAACTGTCAACTGAATTATAGGTTAAAAATGTTTAATTTTACGGATATGATAGTAGCAGAACGTTGGCGCCGCTGGAAGTATTAGATTGCCGAAACTTTTCCAGCCTACGTATACGAAAAACTTATATATCCAAAAAAACTCACAAATTGCCAAAGATAAAGTGATGTAAAATTTTAGTAGATAGATTTGTATAAATGTAATTTTATGATCAATTATGTATCAAAGCTTCTTGACACGCTTTCTATCTACTAAAATTTTACATCATCTCATCTCTGGCAATTTGTGAGTGACAATCTTTCCCGTATTTGTGAGCTTTTCGTAATATCTGTATTGCTGAAGAGAACTTCAACGTGAATTGAAATGTACAAAGTAAAGAAGATATCATTCATCAGAGGATTCGTAATTTGATTTTTTTTAAGATATTACGTCTGATCATCTGCGTTTGACTCTCATTAGCTTTGATTTATGTCAGTTGTATGTATATTCTGATATTGAAAATATAAAAGCATATATCACTAATATCTGTACATTTGATTATAAAAAACATATCTCTTTTTATTAAACGTAGAAAAAAGAGGTAAAGTAGGTCTTGGACATAGGGAAAAATACTATTACATATAATAAAAATTCTACTACTGTTATTACTGTTAAATATTATATACTGCCAGTATCGAAAATCGAATAATGTAACTATGGATTTTCATTATTAATGTATAATTAGCCATTAGCCATTAGTCATTTACTAAAACACTTTGAATATGTATACTTACATACATTTCATAAACATACAGCGTCGTATGAAAATTATGCATATGACTATTGACCGTGTAATGTATGTTTTATATGTATATATATATATATATATATAGAGCACATATATAACATATATATTATATGGGATGTCCAAAAAAATCCCGGATTTATGAGTTGGACATACAGAAGACTATAATTTTGACTATATAATCGTGAAAAAATGGGAATTGTACTTGTATCGGCATACATAGTACGCCAATATATAGTGCGTTGACTTATGACTATGATTCACGTTCTACGACTTAATTACGACCATTCTTGTGCTAAGGCTCTTACATAACGTTTTTGGAAGAAACGCTTCAGAAAAATTGTAAGGTCTCAAAGAAGTTATTTACTATTATTCAGTTGATCTTGGGTGGCATTTGTAGGATCAAGGTCACGTCCATGTTTTTTAATGAAACGTACTATTTTTATTGTAGATTCTAATACATAGTTATTATTGATATGTTGATTTATACAAAGATATAAGTTCGAAAAGTTTTCGGTTTAATACAGAAATGATTCCACAAATATCAAACTGTTATAATTTTAGAAAAGTTTGATTTTTCTCAAGATTACTGTTAAAATTTCAGACAGATGTGTTCATTAGTTTCTTTGTTTCGTGTCAAGCAATCAGTTTTTGATTCCATCATGACAATGCATTCAGATTTCTTCAATAGCAGATGCAAAATTCTACAAATTGATTCCGCAATCGTATTTTACCATATTTGATAATTGAAATGCTCTGTAGTAAATTAAAGATAATCAGCCCACACGATGAACGCTTTTGACATTTATCTACAACAAGGTACGATTTACGGCTGTGGCATTTTTGTTGTAGTTCGCCAGCCCACGACTAACGCCTCTGGCAGTAAATTAAAAAGTCAGTCCACGATGAACGCCTCTGAAATTGGATTATAATTAAGCAAAGCACAATTTATTGTTATAATATTTAATCACTTGTCTGATAAATAAAAGAAATATTTTCACGAATGACATAAAAATACTAACCTTTCTCATTCTGACTTTCCAACAAGAAACACATATGACAGTAACCTTTTAACCATTTTGGCTTTATAGGGTGCCTTCTAACAAGAGACACAGTATGACACGGTGCATCATTACAATCATATTGTTCGCTAATGTACAAGGATGAGATAATCACTGTGTTGTGTGTACTGAGTGAGTCGCTTGTTAGAAAGCATCCATAATCTTTTCTTACCAAACGATTTTTTGCTACTATATTTTTTTCATTTTGTGAATTACAAAATTAGCATTACAAAATGGTAGAGGTTTTTTCTATTCAATTTAGTCCACTCTACCTGCTTGGGACGA